CAAATTTCAAGCGGTCGCATGCACCCACTCACCAGCAAAATTTTGTATAAATTTTATAATGCTAAACTTCTTCATAGAAAAGTAATCTCTAAATATAAGTTTTAATGGTTTAAAGTGCTGTGGGTGTACACGGTCGAATCCGACCGCTTGAATTTTCACGAAATAGCGCCGCGGTGGGATTTAACCGCTTGGGGCTAAGGGGTTAATGAGGAATTGTATTTCAGTCCTCAGAGGTGACAACGTGAGCAACACTCTCACAGAGGTGGCTTTTAATCTATAATAATAAATATTTAATTAAAATGCCATCATATCCTGCACCCGGAGATTATTGAAAAATAATTTAACTCTATTTTGGCCAGAATCATGGTATGTGTGTAAGATAATCAAGCAGATCGTCTTGAGTTTCGATGTCGTTGTAGACAAAGAGACAAAACGCCTACTGTGTGATGCGTGTGATGTACGTTTCTCATACGCGGATAACTTTATCGGAAAGAAATTTTCGTTGAGGCGAATTTTATCTTTAGTGTAATTCGTATTTAAATATGTTTTTGCATTTGTAATCAAAAGACAGAAACAAGTGATTTTAAAAATCTTGTTGATTTGATATTAAAATTTACATTACATTTTTGTCTTTATACCGCATTCAGGCAAAGTCGACATAGAAAATATACAATTTTGCAAAGTTAGCCGGTTTAAAAACACCATGCAAATAGCTTGAATTTTCGATAGTGGCTTCAATACGTTATGCATCAAAAGATTGGCAGCTGTTGCATACGTTATAAGGCCAAATATCCAAATTATAAAATTTAAAATAAATTTTTTGTTATTGTTCTTGTTACATTTTATATTTTAGAATGAATTCAGTGTTCGTCGTCTAACCGTTTAAAAATATGTCATGACATCATCTTAAACATTTATACCTCTTTTAGTTTGTTGTGGAAAATCTATTTATTTTCATAAGATTAAGAATTAGTGTGATAAAAGACCAAATTTTAAACAACGAGTTCTAAAGAGAGATGTGACAGGTTCGGTACTCTTAACAGTCAGCAATGCGCCTGTTATGCGTAACAATTAAGAAAAGCCATCACCAGTCAATCTCAGTAGCTTTTAGATAATTGTTTACTTGCGTATTGTTGTGCGCTATAATTAATACCTGGTTGCATGGCGACATTAGTTACCACTAGCGCTCTTTAGTATCAACTAGCAAAACTAGGAGAGTCAAGATCCTTCTAGAGATTTCCATCCCAGAACTTTCTACACCTCCGGTATGTACTCGATATATATCAATATACGTAGTATGTATTTACAATATTTTCGTTGTATAATATAATTAGGTAACCGTTTTCACATTTATGGAGCATATGTAATTTCGTACTACTTTTCACCCGAATCTACTGTACTGTAGTTTCAATATAATAATGGTTTTTTTTACAAGTAAAATGAAAAACAAATTTAGAGTCCATCTGAAGCAAAGAAAGTAGTAATAGACCGGATATCAGCAAGAAAATTGTCGTCTGTAACTTTTGTCCCATAGAATATATCTACGATTTTTGTCCTTTAGTCTTAGTGACATCAAAAGGTAGAAGACGCATTCGTTTCATAAATATAAAAAAAATATTTTAAAGAAAATATGCCCGGTTGTGTTTTAAGGTATTATGTCATGATATGAAGCGAAAAATGAACGTGATTTCGGTTTATTATCGTAAGAATAATGTATATTTACCAAATAGTCTTCAAATTTTATTATTTCTAGTAGATTATTTTAGAACATTTATTATTATTGTAATAGTCACCCTCTGTTATTCAGTAACGTTACTATTTATTTACTCATTTGATGATTGACGACGTGCCTAAAATGGATTTTTACCTTATATTTAGTAGCGTCACCTCATGGGGAATAACTAAAATGTTTTCCTAATAAATATTTAGCGTAGTATTACTATGTTTCGCTAGAGGACGTTACACTCACAAGAGCTTACAGTTTTTGTATGCACATGTTTCCAATGTCCGCTCTATAGCATACATATTTAAATCTCTTTGATCTGAAGCTAAGGCACGTCTTGGAAAAACCGGGATCATACAAAGGATGATCCCTCCTAGAACGAAGATAGTATGCCTCACAGCTTGTAATACGACTGGTGCTCTTGCAGAGTGCTGCTGCTTGGGGGGTGGAAATTTTTTAGGTGTTAGGCAAAAAAGGTGTACGTACGTACGTACCTACGAAGTAATCTACATCAGATACATTTTCAGTCTTCGTAAATATGGTCATGTCTCTCGCTAACGCTCTCGCCTTAAATGGCTCACTATTAAAGAGAGGCGTGACTCTAGAATTTCGCTTGTTCTCTTCTCTATCTTAAATGATCCATTCACTGCTTCTCAAGTGCTCAACTGCTGGAACAAGTATTTGTATAGCCTAGAAATAATTGTTCCGGGTCTGGATGTTTGTCCTTGTGCAATTTATGTTTGTAAACTGCCCCCACGATACAGGAGAAAATCCTACTGTGTGGGGTAACGTTTGTATAAAAAGGAAACAAGAAAACGCATACCTAACAGTCATTTAAAACTTTAAAAAAATAAGCTAAATATCCCACTACATTTTACTAATTTTGTTAGTAAATCTTTCACCATTCAGGCTGCATTGCTCTGGAATTCATTGCCCGATGACGTTAGAGAAATATCTAATAAGACTGCCTTTAGAAAATGATACATAAGCACTTTACGAAGATATTAGATTTAGATGATACATAGTTAATATAACGGTCAATATGGTTTGGAACCTTTATTGTTATTTTATTCATATATTTATGTTATATATCTATTTGTATTATATATATATTAGCTTTTTTCCCTGATTTACTCCATTGTTCATTTTATTTTGTCACTTAACACATTGTTTTCCTCACGCCCCGGGTTAACTGGGAGAGAATATCTAAAGGCATTAAGTCTGCCCTTTGTAATCCTTTTTTTAAGGCGCAATAAAGTGTAAATAAATAAATATTTAATACCTAATGAGACTGTATTTTCTTTTTAATGTGTTTAATACACTATTTCAAAAGAGTGATCATTGGGGAACTCACATTATTTTTAAATATTCAATAAATCTATTTTTTTAATAATCAATAAATACAACAAACACATCCGCGAATAAAATAGAGTTGTTAATATTTTTAGCCCTTAGATGATATACTATAGATGTTTACTTTGCCGCACGACGGATGTTCGTGACAAGTGATATTATCAGGGTTGCCAACAGATCAATATCGATGTCTTATTGTGTTATTAACTCTAAAGGGCATTGTCCTTTTATACAGAGCACTACGTATCTAGAACTTCCCTTACATACTGTAAGGCTTTCCTCTCTGATAATTGTATTGATCGAAGCAATTTCAGTACACTTAAAGTGTAATGTTTGTTTATTTATCCTTATTCAGAATATAGCACCGCGATAAATAAAAATATTAAATCTCATTAAAACAATGGGATTATCTTGATTACAACATGGAGTGTGTTAATCTAAAGGTGTTTTATACTCATTGTAAAATGTTTCATAATATTTAATTGTATATTAAAACACGTTTACAATTTTGCTGTAATTATCTAAACAAATATGTACTGTTTCATGATATTATAAATATAAGGTGCATTAGGGTGAATACTAACTTTTTCGAGGTTACACTAGAATTTTCTCCTATATTGTGGAGGCGTTTTACATACTGTAATTATTAATTATTGTAGGCCATACAAACACAAATATACAAGCTAAGACACAAAACCTGAAAACGAGACTGTACAACCAGTGATGACCAATGGAACTGAGACGTGGTTCTTCACTGCTGGCCGTATGAGGACGTTCAAAGTCGCTCAGCGAGCTATGGAGAGGGCTATGCTCGGGGTTTCTCTGCGTCATAAACTTATAAATGAGGATATCCCCAGTAGAACCAGACTGACCGATATAGCCCAATGGATTAGTTAACTAAAGTGGCAATGGGCTGGTCGTATGGCTCGAAGAACCGATAACCGTTGGGTAAAAAAGGTTCTCGAGTGGCAGTGTCGTACCAGTAGGTTAAGTGTAGGGTGACTCCCATTAGATGGAGAGACGACCTGATAAGACATGCAGGAAGTCGATGGAGGCTCAGGATCGTGCTTTGTGGCAAACCTTGAGGGAGGCCTATGTTCAGCAATGGACTTGGGAAGGGCTGTAATGATGATGATGATACAAACCCAAGTTCTGTGCGGAACTTGAACATACATACAACACTGTACACTATTAAAATGGTCGATGCTGCACATGGGTCTCCTCCATAGATAACACTTTGAACGGGATTTTTGCCATAGTGTAAGTTGTCATTTCCGAATAAAGCTTCTAACAACACCTATAGAATGATTATAGGGTAGCAGGCTTTTTTAATTCGCTACTACATGGACAATACCCAAGTTAGTCCGTCGCGCTGCAACAATAAGTGTTAGCGTAATTCGAATATCCTGGAAATAATATTTAATATGTTACATATTACGTAGGCTTGCTCACGCAATTTTCCGACACCACTGAGCATGTGGATAATTAGAACTTAAAATTATAATTAATAATTTCGTAATAAACATTATTTTTAATGTTTGATATCTTTTTAAACGTGGTAGAGCCGCGCTATCACAGAATACCAGTGTAAAATAGTAGCTATATTCGGTTGTTTCGTATCGTGATTGTATAACACCGGAGACTTTTCACAGGAAACAAAATATTCCGTCTTGGGTTGGGTGACAACGTATCTGCTATTGGTTCTTGATAAAGGATAGATGTAGATATCTGTAGGCCACATTAACCACTTACCATGATGTGGACTGTTTCCTCGTTTGTCATCCATGCCTTTAAAAAAATATTTCTGCACATATCTCCGCATAGCACTCAAACTTTAATGATTTTGAAGGTTTAAATGTGATTTTCTCTTATTTACAGGACTGAATTGACATTAGTTTCCCTATTATTTATAATATTCGTTGAAATGATACCAAGATGGCGACGTTTAATATCAAAATGTAAGTATTTATTTTTATTACGACGTTTCGAATATATAAATGAACATATTTTCGAGAATTAATTTATTTAAAAGTATACACTTTTTATACTTGGTAGAGTCACAAGAGGAACATGATTTATAAACTCTTAAATCTTTATTGTTTTGGAACCGTCTGAGATATTTTACTTTAATAAAGACCAACTTGATTCGAAACCTATTTCACAAAAAGTTTTAAATTTTGTGTCAATGTGTTGAATATTTTTTGGATAAAATCGGTTGATGCAGGCGGACGAAGAAACTTCTTTAACGTTAGTTTACTTATACCTAATTATATTGAATGCATTAACAAAAACTAAGCTTAAGCTAAATATTTGAAAACTACACATAGACAGTAGAATTTTGATGATTTGTATAGATTTCTCAACATTATAAATTCGAATATTAACAAAATATGGGTATTTTCAAAAACAACTTAATAACAGAACCCATTTCAAAAGTTGACGCTCTCCCAAATCGTTGTGTGGAGAAACTTGAGGACGGCGGACGTTATAATAATGAGGTAACAATTTTATTCAAAACGGCTTTATAGAATATTCGCATTTGAATTCCGAAAATATAACAAAGAGATTTTTATAATTTATTTTAAAATACGAGCGTTTTATAAGATGAAACATAATCGTCATTTTAAGAAATATCGATGGGAATGTAGGGATAATCATTAAATGTTGCATATATTATTAATATATTTTTATAAATATTATTTTTAATGATATATTATCTCTTTTTCTGTTTATTTTGTATTGCACGTTGCACCTATCCGTCAAAATACAAAATTACAATGTCCATTTATGTTCAGTTTGTCGGGTAGAAAGTAGAAATCGCTTAAATCGATATGACTACCCTTTGTAATTCATAAGTATTCCGTTATTGTAATAACTTTGTTCAAATGCAATAAAGAGTTATCTATCTACATCTAAAGATTTCGAATGGTTATAACATAACAGAAAGTCCCGTATCGGACGCGACCTTTTAATGTGTATAACGTTTACCTCAAGGCATAGCCATAAGAACCACGCTTTTTTAAGGGTAAGGTTCAACATTAGTTTTGTGATTTGATATAATGATGACGATGTAAACTAAATTGCATCCATTCAACAGTCTCCTGTATCAACTCCTTGAACATGAAAATTACTTTTGCTGTAATATAATGTAAATTGTTTTGCTGAAATCATTATGCAGAGGTATTGATGATTTTTGCATCAATCCCCTCACTTTTTACGTTGATTTATATTTATTCATATGATAGGAAGTGACTATGGATGGCAATGTATTATATAACGTACAATCTTAGGATCTGAGTTGGATTAAGCCACTATGCAACGCAAGTGTCCGGCCTTCTTCCTTTTTATGACGTAAAAATGTTTTTTTAATATCACGGTAACCTTAAGCGATGCGGGGCTCATGTTATGCAATTGTCTCTTTACCTTTAAGTTTATTTGGCCCTGCTTAGAATAATTTTATGTATTTTATAATTAAGATACCATTCAATTTTTAAAGCTTATGTGTATATTCAAAAATTTCGTTTTGTTTCGATCAGTGTTCATAATTCCCCAGCGGTATGTACTTGGCATCATGGGCTTACTGGCGGTATGCAACGCGTATACGATGCGCGTGTGTCTTAATCTTGCAGTCACCCAAATGGTCAATAATACAAAGAGTGAAGAGTCGCATTATGATCCTGATGCATGTCCCGATGATAGTGAAATATTGGTCAACGGAACGGTCAGTCTTAAACCGGTAAGTTTTTAACGTGTGCGACGTTTAAAACGTGCTTATTATAAATAAATTACATTATAAATTTGAATAGATTCATCTCATGTCTTAGAAATTTGTGGTGATAAATTGTTTGTTTGTATGTTTATTTATTTAACATAAAAAATCACACAGTTACAGTTTTACAGTCTGCCAAACTGCTCAGCAGTTTGTTGGCAGTGAAAATGCTCTTACTTTCTAACATGCAAAAAATAAAGTAGATAAAAAAGAACTAGCTTAATACAATTATACTACTACTAATATGACAAATAAATAGTAATAATATAACATTAATCAGTAATTTAAAGGGTAACGCCATTTTACATACATGCATAAATTTTGCATGTACGCGTGCTATGATGTTGTAGAATGGATCGTCATGATACATTCCGTTTTTACTCTTTATTAGTATAAAGTTTTTTTAATTTATTTTTAACTGTTGTGATTTATCCGTAAGGCTTTCTTGCGGTATATGAAATTATAATACGTTTATTAATAGATTTTTTAAAAAAATTTTAATCGTAAGTTTACTGCTCCTAAAGCTAACTAATATTTTTTTTTGGCTTTTTTTATCAATTATCAAACTTAAATCCTGCGTAATTATTGCTGCTAAAAATTTGAAAGCCGCGCGCGACCTTATGTAATACTTTACCTTTTAATTTTCTCTAGTGTTCTTTTTTTGTTATAGTACGCGATATTCGATTGGTCTGAATCGACACAAGGTCTTATACTAAGCGGCTTTTATTATGGTTATGCCATAACTCACGTACCAGGAGGATATTTAGCTGAAAGGTACGGAGGAAAATGGACGCTAGGTATTGGTCTTCTAAGCACAGCGATTTTTACTCTTCTCACGCCACTTGTTGTGAAAGCCGGCGGAGCAACATGGTTATTTATACTCCGAGTACTGCAAGGAATGGGCGAAGTAAGATTTTTAATTTTAACCTGATATTAGGTATGATGTTGGATATTTACGTTATGAGAAGGTGGGTAGATTCATCGTCAATATAGGTTAAAATTGATATCATATTTGATATATAATAACAATAATAGTTTATTACTCTATAACAATGAAAATACATAAAATGTATATTAACATACTGTCTAAATTTTACGTCTTAGATTATACAAGAACCTCTGACTTCTAAACATGCCAGGGTGTGTATCATAATCGTCAGCGCTCTTCACAAAATCAGTGTCGGTGAGACAAGTATGGGTTAGCAAAAAGTAAATAGAGAGTATATACGAAAAATAATAAACTTGTTACCATAAAACGAAACGAAATAAAATAAACAAGAAGCTATTGACATAGGGCACTGTATACCAAATTTATATTTGTTTTATATTTTTGGTTTTAAATTGACCCTTTTTTAAGTGAAATTAACGCCATCACTAGCTTACATTAAATAAAACATTTATTTTTTTAGAATGGGGTCATATGCGCGATATAGTGAACTGAATAAAAATATTAAACAATCGCAAAAAATTAAAGTAAAATAAATACGGTAAAGACCTCCTCCTTTTTTGAATCAAGATTAATAGTTATGTTTGAGACGATCTTTGAGTTATTCGTCTTTCAATTATTTTTTGAGCTTCTAACATAATTAACGTTCCCGTAATGGTAGGCATTTATTTAGAATGGAACAAGTATTTTACTTTTCTGGCCTTATTTCTTTGCCAAGGTCTAAATAAAAATTACAAATGTATTACACAAGTTGTCATGAAAAAATTAAACTTGAAATATTTAATAATGTAACAGAAGATATAATAGTTAGTTACTAACGAGAATTATCTGTATAAAAATTTAAATGTTTTAGAAACTTGTCGTGGTTCGTAAAATAAATCTTTATTCTGGAAATAAACAGGAAGAAAACGAAAAGACCTTTTTTAAAAGTAATATTTTACAATTAAATAAACTACAGTTATTTATAAAAATCATTTTAAAAACAATCATTGATAGTATGTTTATTGATGTTTTATATACCTAATTTTTTATAAAAGACTATATTTGTTTAAATATTTAAATTTGATTTTAGAATTGACCTTGTATTTTTTTTATTAAAACCGCATACATTGCCCGAGGAATGTATTATAGGAGACGATTGACTGGTATTATTGGCTGGTGTTTATGCCTTGTGCTGGTACAAAATGTATAATTTTTATTCATTTTTTATTTAAACTAATTTTGTTTTATATATGATAATGGTTACTTTGTGAATTTAATATTTGAAGTTATTGCCTTGGTCGAAAGGACCGGGGCAATGTCATTATAATAATATTTAAGTAGTTCGTAGCATTGTAGTAGGTAGCATAGTAATGTAGATCTGATTTCAATCAATGTTTGCATATACTTTTTTATACTTAGTAATTTTGTCAATCATTTTCAGGGCCCAACGATGCCCGCTTTGATGATAGTGCTAGCGCGATGGGTTCCGCCACATGAAAGGTCACGGCAAGGTGCTCTTGTTTTCGGAGGGGCGCAGATAGGAAACATCTTCGGCTCATTCATGTCCGGCTTCCTCATGGCTGGCGATGGTGATTGGGCCAACGTATTTTACTTTTTCGGCTGTTTCGGAATTTTATGGTTTATATTCTGGGTAAGTAATGTTTTTTTGACAAAGAATTTGAACGCCGTTTAGTGGCGGTATAAGAATATCCACTACCGCAGGCCATCCCGTGGGTATCGTAAGAGGCGACAGAGGGAAACAAATCAGGAGGTGGGGAGCAGTGTCTTCCTAATAACGACTTTAAATAATAAATGCGGTTGCCAACCCGCTTGCCAAGCGTGCCAACTATGATAAGTACCTCCCCTATGAGTCAATCTATGGGCGAGGCGTAAGTTCAGCAGTGGACTTTAATAGGCTCTATCGGTAACGGTAACAGTATTAATTCTAACCACTTGTCCAGTAGTTCGTACATGGTAAATGGATACGTAACTCTCGCCATCCGAACTGAAACCCTTCTTTATTTCCGGGTCAGAAGTATCCTGCCATAACATTTTCCTATTCTATATCATTCCTTTTTTTTGTTAATCGATGGGGATTTCTGCAAGAATTTGAGAAGAAATTAGCAGCAGTATTTGCCTGGGTCATTAAGTTACCAAGTGAAAAGCGTATAAATTATGGCAAACCCTTTAAGTAATTGGAGGGAAATTGATTTTCCGTAGTGGACTAGTGAAAGACTGTAACGGAAGTTATTTGCATTTTTGAATAGAAAAAATATTAGGTTGGTATTATTTGCATTTATAAATAACCAGCTATTTCAACAGAAAAAAATTACTACTAAACTGCTTGTCGATGGTATTAAGGATATGAAATAAAAAATTATTATATAAAGTGTTAATAAGCGTAAGAAAATTTCCACCGAAATATTAATTTACATTAAAATTTTCAAGTATGTCACTTTTATAATCGATATACATATAAATATGTCATTAAAGGGGCCTTCTACACGATCGGGACCAACCGCCGACCATCGTGTCCTTGGTCAGGTCAACCGATTTTTGAGATATGTTTCTAACCATTAAAATGATATTAAATCTATTCCAGAGCATTCTTTGCTACAGTACACCGAACACACATCCCTATATAACAGACGAAGAACTTAAATATTTAAATGAGACCGTCACAAGTGCCGATACCAAAAGCGTGAGAGACCCTGTCCCCTGGAAGGCTATTGTTAGATCAGTTCCCGTATGGGCTCTCGTGTTTGCCGCTGTAAGTTTTCTAACACATATGCATAATATATATTAGTTCTATTTAGCTTTTTTAAATTGATTTGAAATGCTATGAACATAAATATTATAGTAAAGATTTTTAGTTTATGAATTTTATCCTGGTAATATGATGGTGACGATGCTTTCTTGCTTCTCATTGCGCACAATTTTCAAGTGTTTTGTTGTAGAATGTGGAAAATTATCTTATTACTTAGTTTTGTTATACTTTCCTAAAAATAAATAAAATGGTTTAAATGAGTGCATATCATCTCATGGAATTTAAAGTTCGAAATTTGAAGTTAAAATAAACTCAAACTTATTTTATGTCTTTGTGAATAGTTTAGTATAAGCGTTTTCTAGCCCTTGCATTTTGGTAATGTTTTTTCCACTATTTGTTGGACAAAACGTTGGCGAAAACATTTTTTTTAAATTAAATTTTAGTAAAAAATTACGCTAATGAAAAGGTGGAGTATTTTGTTTCCTCATCACTTCACCGACCTTTCGGTGGAATAGTTTACCACCAGCAATTCTCCGGACGTAGGACCTTCAGGAAAAGAGCTTACTCCTTTCTAAAAGGCTGGCAACGACCCTACAATTCCCTTCTATTGTTCATGGACGGCGGTAGCCACTTAACATCAAGTGAGCCATATGCTCGTTTGTCTATATAAAAATATTAATAAAAAACATAAAAGTCTATCACGAATACGAACGAACGAACGAACGAGAAGATTGGGTTTATTGAAGACTTCATTCTCTAAACGGAAATTTTGAAGACGTCATGCCGTCAGTTCAAGGTTATTACTTTATTTAATTTAGGAAAAACGTAATAAAATGTCGACGAGACTTAAATTAAGAACAATTTGAATAAAATGAATATTATTAAATGTACATAATTTTAGTTAGTTTTTTGCATATTATACCTACTCTACTACCCACAAAAAGCACTTATAGCTAGTGCGCTATGCCATTATTAGTTAAAATATTACCTCGTTGTCCATTGGACATCCATTGGCTGTTCATGAGGTCCCGGGTTCGAATCCCGGGTCGGTCCGAAAAAGTAGTTTTTCAGTCAAGAAACTCTCAGTAGCTGTCCGGAGTCAGGAAGGTGGGGGTGTCTCACACTTTGCTGATCGCTGATCCTGCATCTGATCTCTCTCCGGTCAAGTTGGCTTACAGTCCCATCGGATTATGAGAGTGGCACTTGAGCACTATAATACTGTCCTGCGCCGATGGCTAGTATCCGTTGCGGCTGGAGGACATTATAATTATAATATTCATGACGTATTTTTCTTTTAGGTTGGCCACGATTGGGGCTATTATACGATGGTAACTGATTTACCGAAGTACATGACGGATGTGCTCAAATTTAACATCGCCACTACAGGCACACTAACTGCTATTCCGTACCTTGCTATGTGGTTTAGTTCCTTCATATTTGGCTGGGCATGTGATTGGTGTGTTAAAAAGGGATGGCATTCGATTAAAACAGGAAGGATCATTCATACTACAATAGGTTTGTAATTTAAATTGTCTTTTAAACTATATTTTATCTTTTTTTTATAAAACATAAAGGTGAGAAATGAGCAAACAGTGCACCGTATGATAAGTAAATGTTGTGGCTCATATATAGTAGACATCCTACCTACCTACCTACCTACCTAACCTACATCTATCCTTCATTAAGAAGCAGTATTCAGATACTTTGTAACGCCTTAAGACTAAGATGGAATATATTTTTCAGTTATTCAAAATTTCTTTTAACATTTTTTATCAGTATTAAAGCAATGTCAAAAAATAGCTTAACCAAATTGCGTCTAATCTACCTTTTCATAACATGAAGTTATAACACATGTTTGTTTTAAATAACTAATTTTTAAATAAATGAGACTATCCATAAACGATTTTTAACTGATTTGCATCGCAAAAAGTGTCATCCCTTCAGTATAGATACATATAAATTCTTTACTAAGTGGTAGGACCTCTTTTATGCCCTCTTACATATTTCTGTTGCTAATCAGAACCTGTACTACTGGGTTCTGGTACAAAATCTATAGAGAGCCAATGTATACAGTAGGCCTTGAAGCATTTCATCTTAGTCATCAGAGGTGGCAACGCATCTGTGGCCTTCTTTATTTAAAATATAGTTGCAGGTGTCTATGGTCTACAGTAACAACTAATTTTCAGACTGGCTGTAAATTTTTTGTCACATCAATTTTATTATAAAAAATGAACCGAAGTTATTTGATGACTACAAAATGCGATTTTGTGCAGTAAAGGCGTCGATTATGCCGCCAGTAAAGCTCCTTGGTGTGCCTTTTAGTAGAGTTTTTCAATTTAAATATTTGGGACACATTGTTAACTATTATCAGACAAACAACAATGATATAGAGAGAGAGCGACGCGCGTTGGCGGTTCGATGCAATATGCTTGCCCGCAGGTCTGCTAGGTGTACAAATGATGTAAAAATAACCCTCTTCAAAGCGTACTGTTCAATATTTTACACCTGCAGCCTGTAGTATGACTACACGCAGAGGACCTATAATGCGCTTTTCGAATTCAATAAAATAATGCTTTCAGGATGCTAATGGGCCTTCCTAGACACTGAAGTGCTTCAAGCATATTTGCTGAAACAGGTGTTGATGATTTTTATGGCATCTTAAGAAAGCGAACTGCGTCAATGTTCTGTAGACTACGGAAGAGCTCAAATAGTATCTAGAGGGTGCGGGTGGTATCGAGGAGCACCTCCTTATGCATTATAGCGCAAAGCGGTCCGTCACGGAGTCCCAGTTGCCTCAGATGACCCGAAAGGCCAACTGAGATTAGCCCGTTTTCAGAAACGACTACATCAACATACAAACATACACACGATATAACATACAAACGAGATCCATCAGCACAATATCAGGCTTATTCTCAAAAATAGTCCTGTCTGTGATGATGGCCCGGTCCTAGTAGAGCCTACCGCGATCATATTCGAGCACTGCTTCCGGCAAGTACTTGTAATACTACGGCAATTTCCGGTCCACGAGACCGTATTTCAGAGCGAATTCCTGGTGAAGAATTCTGGCTACTAGGTTGTGCCTGTGCAAGTACTCAGAGTTAAAAAAACGCCGATTTATTATTATTATTGGGATATCTATATAGTTTTCTCATCTGGTTGGGTTCCATAAATATATAATTGTAAATGAGGGTGATAAATATACATAAATATCAATAAAATAAAATAAATACATAAATTAATGAAAGCTCAACCAGATGGAAGCCCTCGGCAGGGAAGACCAAACGGCCGAGGGTTAGGAGGAAAGGGAAAGAACACGGCGGGCGATGCGGGCGGTATCGCGGAGCACCGCCTTCTGCATTTGAGCCCGGAGCGATCCGTCACGGAGTCCCAGTCGCCTCAAATGACCCAAAAGGCTGACAGCGATTAGCACATACGCAGAGACGACTACAGGAATAATTTCGGTCGGCAGACAACCCAACATGTCGGTCACTTCGTGAGCCAGGTCCTGATATTTAGTTTTCTTTTCTGATTCGGCTTTCACTAGGTTCTCGTCATATGGAATGGTCCATCAGCACATTATCAGGCTTATTCGCAAGAATAGTCCTGTATGTGATGATGGCCCGGTACCAGTAGAGCTTGGCGCGGTCATTTTCGAGCACGGCTTATTATTATTATTATTAAAATTTATATATTTGATGTTTCACCAATATTTCGTTTAATTAAAAATATCCTAATGTGATTTTATTTTTATTAGCTGCTACTGGTCCTGCTATTTGTATCATTTTGGCTTCATATTCGGGCTGCGATCGCTTCACAGCTGTTGCTTATTTTATTGTCTCCATGGCCCTCATGGGAGGATTTTATAGCGGAATGAAGGTGAGCATAACCTTTATAAATATTTTCATTTCCCAAGTAATATATTATGTTTTTGCCACAAGAGCCTCAGCTATTTTTGTAACGCGAAGGAAAAATGCGGACGTTAAAAAGAAAAAGAAAAATTAGCTAAAAGCTGAAAAGTATCTACGGAAATGTAAATTAACTTGAAGTAGATTACTACGTTTAAGACATCTTTAAAATACAATAAATGGTCGATTATAATATGTAATAAAACTGAATTGATTGTGTTTCAAAATCATCATTTCTTTACGTGGTAGAGCTACGGGGTGACAAACGAGCACACAGTCCACCTGATGGTAAGTGCATGCTGTGACCCATAGACATCCACATTTATCATCAACTAATTATCAAAATGCAAATGCGTTGTCACCCCTATGAACTAGGTGGAATGCCTCGATTTCAGTAAAAAGGTTCTCCGGTTCTCTACACTCACCATACAAAACACAGTAGCATTACGCTGGTATTCTGTAAGTGCGTTGTATTGTCCCGGTCAAGCCGAATTATTCGTGCTAAAACTATAATATAGCTGCAGTGTGGCTCTACCACGTATAAAACCACCTGCCACAATTAAGCTCACACACCTTGAGAACTAACGTGAAGATGGAGCTAGAAGAAGAGATAGACAAGTTGTACTGCGGTATGAGGTCTGAAGCGAGGGGGAGGATAGGATCATTCTGATATCCAGCAAAGTGCAACTGTCCTAAGGAAGTGTCAGGTTTATTTTCCACAAAGCTCTCGTTAACAACGTGCTTACTTTATACTCAGAATCACTAAATTGTAGTACCTAGTTAAAAGACATACAGATCTACCCACCAACCTCAGCACACACCGATGATGTGGAGGAATATAAATGACGATATTTCTAAAGGCCCGACAGTTTGATAAAATACACGAAATTGACTTGAGAACTGTTCAAAGATATCTCCGTGATCGTGAGGTTGAAAACTGAACTTGACAAGGTTATCATTGAGTAGGAGTTTCTCTGCGTGTTATAATTCGTGATGAAGATATAAGCAATAGAAGCAGATCAATCAGCATAGACAACGAATCTGAAACTGAATAAAGCATAGTAGTATGGGCCGACCATATAGGAGGAGTGGCAGCCTTCTACCGATAAGAAAGGCGTTCTGAAAATGGTGTCACGACCTTATGCTATGTTCAGCAGTAGCCTTGTGAATAGCTATAGTGATGATGATGTTGAATGATGATATTAGCGGTCGATTTTTCAAACTATATCTTAATCGATTTTATAGAAATTATATGGGTAACATTAGCAATTTTATAACGTCAAAAATCGTTCATTAGGTTTTAATGTCAAGATATTCACAGTAGCAACCCGGAAGTAGAAAGTGGCGGTGATTCACTCCCGTGACTAAGAAACCATTAGACGTGGTTCATGCACCTGATCTCACTTTGTTCGTGTCAGATTTCTCTCCCATCGGGCTAAGAGAGTGAGGGAATAAAGAGTCTCCGTTGAGACTGGTTTCTGTGACTGAAATTCGGTCTAAAGGATATTTTTATATTTTATTTATAATGTAAGATTTTGCGAAATCTTGTGGCCAACAAAAGAAATTTAACGAACATAATATCATGTATTGTGACAAGCTTGATATTATAATTTAAATTTTAATTATATCTTATTTGAACATAAAATATATCTTATGTTAGTTACAACGCATACGTGTCTTTGTTTTGTAATAACTTACTTGTATGAGCTATTTCAGCGTTATATTAGAATAGGTTCCTTTGTTCTCTACAATGAATATTATTTTTATGAAATGAAATTTATTTTATTTTTATCATTTCAGGTCAACGCTCTTGACTTGGCACCTAATTATGCAGGATCTTTAACGGCAATGATAAATGGCACTTCAACAATTTCAGGAATAATCACGCCTTATCTTATAGGGCTGTTAACTCCTGACGTAAGTTATTTAACTATATTTAATTTTGTTAAGTATAATCTCTTTCTAAGAAATCTTTAAAATCTTCTAGGTTTATTTCTCTATAGATTATATTTTGGGTTGACGAAAGGCAGCTTCGTATCAGTGAATGAAGTGTAAGGCAGCTCCCTATTAGTTGAAGTACCACACACTACCTGATAAGAGATGGAGGTTTTCTATGGATACGAGTGGCTAAAGTCTTTGCTTTGTGATATTCCTTGGAGAAGGCCTATGTTCAGCTATAGACTTGCGGAGGGTTGTTATGAAGAATAATCGATTTCTCATATCTTACATGAAAGTCTACAAAATTTTAGTTTACTAACTAGTGTAGCACATGCAAATATATAATTTGGTATATTTTTTATGATCTAGAAATTCACTTATTATTGTGTGAATTTCGTATTTTTATCAATTTGTATTTTGTTTTGTACCCGAACAAACTTATAACCCCATCTTTTATTAATCATAACCATTAACTTAAGTTTAGTTTACGACGGGCTGTTTTCTACAACTTCACGTCTAATAATCATGTGGGCAGGAATAATGTGATTATTCGAGTAATGAAATCTCCCCGAAGAAGTTCAACAGTCCTTTGATGTTGCAAACAACTTCGGGATATTTAGCCCTGTATGCAGCGATCTCCGGACATGTCATCAACATGTGAGCCGCCGTTTCTTTCTCCCCCATACATGTACTGCACAGTGGGTTATCTGTAACACCTATGGTAAATAAATGTTTGTTGAAGGAGCCATGTCCTGTGATAGCACTTGTTGCTATCCTGATCTGTGGCTTGTTCAGTCTCATTAGAACCTTCGTTAGACGACTGTTTATTTCAGGCAGGACTGTCTGTTAGATTTTTTTTAAAGCTGAGCATGTAGGTTAGTGATGTTTCTACGTACCAGCGAACGAATGTTACCAAAGGGGAGTGGTATTATTGGTTCTGGTCTTAAAGTAGCCAGAGCCGATCATCTTCTGGAAAATTTGTCTGCTGCATCGTTGCCTAGGGATCATAACCATTAAAGGAACGCATAAATTCACAACGCATACACTTACACATACGTATGTATGTGTAAGTGTATGCGTTGTGATTTATGGTCACACACACACACACACATACACACGTATATATATATATATATATATATATATATATATATATATATATATATATATATATGTATATATATATCATCATCATCATCATCATCACAGCCCTTCACAAGTCCACTGCTGAACATAGGCCTCCCCCAAGTAATGCCACAAAGCACGGTCCTGAGCCACCTGCATCCATCGACTTCCTGCATATCTTACCAGATCGTCACTCCATCTAGTGGGGGTCGCCCTACACTACGCCTACCGGTACGAGGCTGCCACTCGAGAACCTTTCTTCCCCATCGGTTATCGGTTCTTCGAGCTATATGGCCAACCCATTGCCACTTCAGCTTAATAATCCGTTGGGCTATGTCGGTCAATCTGGTTTTACTGCGGATATCCTCATTTCTGAGTCTATCACGCAGAGAAACTCCGAGCATAGCCCTCTCCATAGCTCGCTGAGCGACCTTGAGCGTCCTCATACGGCCAGCAGTGAAGGACCACGTCTCTGATCCGTAAGTCATCACTGGCAACACGCACTGGTTGTACACTTTAGTTTTCATAGATTGAGGTATACCTGACGAGAAGATATGTCGTAATATCCCGAACGCTGCCCAGCCGAGTTGAATCCGTCGATTGACCTCTCGGTCGAAGTTGGACTTACCTAGTAGGAATATTTGTCCCAGGTAAACGTACTCGTCAACAATTTCGAGCATAGTGCTCCCAACAACTACCGGCATAGGTGTGACATGGACATTAAACATAATCTTTGTTTTGTCCATGTTCATCTTAAGACCTATCCGTTGGGAGGCACTATTGAGGTCATTGAGCATAGTGCTTAAGTCCTCCAGCGATTCTGCCATAAGGACTATATCGTCGGCAAATCGAAGGTGAGTGATGTACTCGCCATTGATGTTAATACCGTATCCTTTCCAGTCCAGTAGCTTGAAAACGTCTTCCAAAGCAGCGGTGAAGAGTTTCGGGGATATAACGTCACCCTGTCTTACACCTCTCTGCAGTTGGATAGGTTTCGAGCTCTGGTTCTGTACTCGGATAGCCATCGTAGCCCTACTGTACAAACACTTCAGCACTTCAATATACCGACAGTCAACTTGGCACCGCTGAAGGGACTGCAGCACCGCCCAAATTTCGACGGAATCAAAGGCTTTCTCATAGTCCACATACGCCAGGCAAAGTGGCAAATTGTACTCTTCAGTCTTCTGTACAATCTGCCGCAGGGTATGTATGTGGTCTATGGTACTGAAGCCTTTTCGGAAACCGGCTTGTTCGGGAGGCTGGAAGTCGTCGAGTCTGCGTGCGAGACGATTCGTAATGACTCTCGAAAACAGCACGTAGACGCGGCTCAGAAGGGAAATCGGTCTGTAGTTCTTCAAGAGAGCGTTGTCGCCTTTCTTAAAGAACAAGACCACCGCACTTCTGCTCCACGCCTCTGGAGTAGTGCCACCATGGAGGACGGAATTGAAGAGCTTCTGAAGGACTTCAAGTACCGGTGTTCCACCCGCTTTCAGAAGCTCCGCTGTAATTCCATCCTTGCCTGGGGCCCTGCCGTTTTTAAGGTGCTGGAGAGCCATTCTAATCTCGCTTAGACTGACGTCCGGGATATCATCGGAATAGTGTCGGATAAGACTTGCTCTTGGATCGTTACTCACACTTGCGTGTGGCTCCAACGATGATGTGTACAGCTGCCCATAGAACCTCTCAATCTCACTCAAAATCTCAGGTGTCCCGGAAACGATGCTGCCACACTCAGTTTTCAGCCTTGACAGTTGGCTCTTTCTGGCAGACAGATCTCTGGCAAAGACTTTGGAGCCCTGGTTCCGCTCGATCGCTTCTTTAATACGAGCAGTATTAAAGTTGCGTAAGTCTCGCCGCATGTATTTGGAGATCTGTCTGTTCAGTTGCCTGTATGCTGTCAAATCTGTTGACGATTGCAGCCTCATCTCCCGTCTAACAGCCATGAGATTAAGAGTGTGATCGGAGAGTTTTTGTGTTCTTCTGCGGCGGGTCTTGCAGAACTTAGCTCCGACCGCATGGACAGTTTCCACGAGCTTGTCATTCATATCGTCCACTGCATTGCAATCTTGTAGGCACTGAAAGTGGTTGTGTAACTCGAGCTGAAAGTTTTCGGGATTTTGGATCAGAGCACGAGGGGGGACGGAGCGTTGACTTCATTAGACGAGACCTCTCCAACTTAACGTTTAGGTTCAGTGTGCCTCTAACCATTCGGTGATCGCTGCCAGTTTTCACCCTTGCGATCACTGAGACATCACTGAACAGTTGGCGTCTGGTCGTCATAATGAAGTCAATCTCATTTTTTGTCGAACCGTCGGGGCTCGACCAGGTCCACTTCCTGTGGGGCCGCTTCTGGAAGAAAGAGTTCATCATAAAGAGTCCCTCTTTCTCCATAAAGTCGGCCAGCTGCTGGCCCCTTCGGTCCCGTTGCCCTACTCCAAATTTCCCTAACTTCAGCTCACCGCTTTCTCTTGTGCCTAGTTTTGCGTTGAAGTCTCCCATCAACACCGTGTAGTGGGTTTTGGAGGAATGTATGGCTTTGGAAATATCCTCATACATTTCCTCCACCTCCTCGTCGGAATGTGCCGACGTTGGTGCGTAAACCTGTATGACCTTCAGCGAATACCGTTTGGTGATTCTGAGTATCAGGTACGCGACCCTCGTCGACACACGATATATATATATATATATATATATATATATATATATATATATATATATATATATATATATATATTCATAAACACTCACGCCTGTCACCCAGAGGGGTAGGCAGAGACTACAGACTTCCATTTGGCACGATCCTGACACACCTCTCTCGCCTCCTTCACATCCATACACATACGCATACATGCTCGTCGGTTAAGGGTACTCCTAATTTGGTCCGTTTTCAATAAATCGCCAATTTGGTCGATAAATTTTCGCCTAGGACGTCCCTTTCCGACTCTGCCATTCACTTCTGCAACATAAATTTTCTTTGTCACTCTTTCCTCATTCATTCTTTCCACATGACCAAACCACCGAAGCATTCCTTTCTTAATCCTGGTCACAACATCATCTTGCAAACCACACTCTTCTTACCAATTTCTTACCCTGTCATTCAGATTCAGCCCTAACATACTCCTTAACGACCGCATTTCTACTGCGTTTATTCTACTCTCGTGCTTCTTCTGCCACACCCAACTTTCACTACCATACGTTAAAGTAGGGATCAACACAGCATTGTGAATTGCCATACGTGCCTTTTTCGACATATTTTGACACTTCACAATAGAGTGCAGGGCCCCATTTACTCTATTTCCCGCATTCACTCGTCGTTATATATCCTTATCATATCTCCCATCCCTGCTAAATACGCAGCCCAAATATACAAACTCATCTATTTGCTAGATCAAATCCCCTTCTATTCTTATATCACAAATCGTTTTACTTTCTTCTCTTTCAAAAACCATAATCTTCGTCTTACTTGCGTTCGCTTTCATACCCCTTTCTTTTAATGATCTGTTCATTAATGTAACCATCATTTGCAACTCGGCCGCCGACGACGCAAGGATAACTTGATCATCGGCGTACAAAAGGCATTTGACGGTTAACTCACCCATTCTTAATCCGCATTCTTCAACTTTAAAATTTTGCAAACAACTGTCCATAAATAGGTTGAACAGCCACGAGGAAGCTACACAGCCCTGTCTGACACCTTTATGGATGTCAAACCAGTCCGAGTAGACCCCGTTGATCCTAACACAAGCACTAGAGTCCCTATAAAGGGACTCCAATGCCTGTATTAAGCCATCGCTCAACCCAAATGAGTTCAGTGTTTGCCATAGCACATCCCTATCCACTCTGTCATAGGCCTT